GAGGAAAAGGAAGCGGAAAAGGAGGAGGAGGAGGAGGAGGTGGGGGAGGAGAGAATGATAATGTGGAGGAGGAGGGGGAAGAGGAGGAGGAGGAGGAGGAGGAGGAGGAGGAGGATGAGGAGGAGGATGAAAAGGATGATGAGGAGGACGAGGACGAGGACGAGGAGGAGGAAGAGGAGGAGGAGGAGGAGGAGGAGGAGGAGGAGGACGGATGACCTACAGGGACCTCCAGTTCGTGAGCCTCACAATCCTGATCCTCACCCTCCTGATCTTCACCCGCCGCACCACCGCCGCCCGCTCATTCTCACCATCGTCCTCGGGCACAGGCGCACGCCGCTTTTTCTATATACAGAAACTCCCGATCAACAGCAGAGCGGCCGACTAGTCTACCAGGCGTCGCATTTCGGCACCCAAATGGGGGCAAATCGTGAGGATGTCTCACGCGGGGGCTTCGTCAATGAATGAAATGTGGGGAATTTCAAGCGGGTGCCCCCCCCCAATGGGGCCCGCGCTTCATGTTCGAATCCGAACGGGTCATCGGGAACACTTCAGGCATCGCATTTACACACCTCAAAAACACACATCCTGAGGATGTCCCTAGCGGGGGCATCGTTTGTGAATGAACGGCGACGAAGTCTCAGGCGGGAGCCCCCTCCCTATGGGGCCCGCGTTTCATGTTCGAATCAGAGCGGGTCCTCGGCATCATCTACCATACATTTCCATGGGGGCAAGTCGTGAGGATGTTTCCAACGGGGGCCTCGCACGCACTTCGTATTCTAATCCAAACGTGTCATCGGAAACATGTATTGGGCATCGCATTGAACACCTCAAAGGAACACGTCGTGAGGAGGTTTCCAGCGGGGACCTCGTTTGTGAGTGAAAGGAGACGAAGTCTCAGGCGGGAAACCCCTCCCTAGGGGGCCCGCGCTTAATGTTCGAATCCGAGCGGGTCATCGGCATCACCCACCAGGCATCGCAAGAAGGCAGATCGTGCGGAGGTCTCAAGCGGGGACCTCTTCTGTGAGTGAAACGCGAGGAAGTCTCAGGCGGGAACCCCCTACCCTATGGGGCCCCGCGCCCACCAGGCATCGCATTTGAACAACCGAAGGGGGCAAATTCTGAGAATGTTTCGACTTGGGGCTCCGTTTGTGAATGGGAAGTGTCAGGCGGGAGCACCCCTCCCTGTGGGGCCGCAAGGAACCCTAGCGGGTCATCCGAACCATCCACCAGGCATAGCAGCTGAACGCCCCAATGGGGGCAGATCGTGAGGATGTTTCGAACGGGGGCTTCGTCTGTGAGTAAATTGCGAGGAAATCTAAAGCAAGGTACCTCTCTTCACGGGGCCTGCATTTCATGCTGGTAATCCGAACGGGTCATCGGAATCATCTACCAGGCATCGCGTTTGGGCACCCCGAGGGAGCGCACCGTGAGGATGTCTCCAGCGGGGGCTTCGTTTGTGAACGAAATGCGAAGACATCTCAGGCGGGAATTCCCTCCCCATGGGGCCCGCATTTCATGCTGGTAAGCCGGGCGGGTTATCGGGCTAGACTTTGCGCAAGGGCGTAGCCATCGAATGCGCCAAGGATGGGGGCGCTGGTCGCACGGGCATGTCGGTTGAACAGTGGTGGCTGCGCCTCTACATCATGTTTCCCCGCCGCGTGCATGTGGGACATGCAGATCTTGCCCGCGCGAGAGTTCCTGGAGCGCGGGCCGCCGTAGTCCCTGCGGAAGGCGCCTGGGGAGTTCGACAAGAGAGCGGCGAACTCCAGGGCCGAGGCGGTGCAAGTCGCGGCAGAGCTGGGCTTCGCGCCGCCTCCCGCCTGAGCGCGGCCGCGACTGGCTCCAGACCTGCGGGGTTGTCCCAATGGCTTGTTCCCGCGCCCCAGCGGCTCGCGGGGTTGTCCCAACGGCTTGGCCCGCGGGTTTACCCCAACGGCTGTGTGATCTGGCCATCGGAGAACGCGCCCCTTCTGGCCGTGGCGGCGAAGGTGCCGAGGAATATCGACATGCGTGCCCCAGCCAAAAGAAAGGAGAGGTGCACGAGGAAAGCTGGCAGGATGGAGATAAGGAGAGGTAGGAAAAAAAGAGGTGGAGGAAGAGGAGGAGAAGGAGGATGATGATGAGTAGGAGTAGGAGTAGGAGTAGGAGTAGGAGTAGGAGTAGGAGTAGGAGTAGGAGTAGGAGTAGGAGTAGTAGTAGTAGTAGTAGTAGTAGTAGTAGTAGTAGTAGTAGTAGTAGTAGTGGTAGTAGTAGTAGTAGTAGTAGTAGTAGTAGTAGTAGTAGTCGTAGTTGTAGTAGTAGTGGTGGTAGTAGTAGTAGGAGGAGGAGGAGTAGAAGTAGGAGTAAGAGTAGTAGAAGTAGAAGTAGGAGAGATAAGTAGTAGTAGTAGTAGTAGTAGTAGTAGTAGTAGTAGTAGTAGTAGTAGTAATAGTAGTAGTAGTTAGTAGTAGTAGTAGTAGTAGTAGTAGTAGTAGTAGTAGTAGTATGGTAGTAGTAGTAGTAGTCGTAGTAGTAGTAGTAGTAGTAGTCGTAGTCGTAGTAGTAGTGGTGGTAGTAGTAGTAGGAGGAGGAGTAGAAGTAGGAGTAAGAGTAGTAGAAGTAGAAGTAGGAGAATAAGTAGTAGTAGTAGTAGTAGTAGTAGTAATCGTAGTACTGGGTAGTAGTAGTAGTAGTAGTAGTAGTAGTGCTAGTAGTAGAAGTGGTAGTCGTAGTAGTCGTAGTAGTAGTTGTAGTAGTAGTAGTAGTAGTAGTAGTAGTCGTAGTCGCAGTAGTCGTAGTAGTAGTGGTGGTCGTAGTAGTAGTAGTAGTAGTAGTAGTAGTCGTCGTAGTAGTCGTAGTAGTAGTCGTAGTAGTCGTAGTAGTAGTAGTCGTAGTAGTATTAGTAGTAGTAGTAGTAGTAGTAGTAGTAGTAGTAGTAGTAGTCGTAGTAGTAGCGTAA